GTGTTCAATCGACGGGTTCTCAGTTGAGCCGCACACCGTCGACTGATGAATAATTGCAATGTCTTGATCATATACTTTGGCTACACAACAATCTCGGTGAGGCGCTCCGACCGAGAAGCTGGCGTGTTGGCAGTGAGTGAAGGAGCATCCGGAATTTGACCAGCGCCCACAAACAACTCTCGCAGAAACCGTCGTCGATATTCTTATGACGGTAATTGCGTGTCCATTTTCCAACTCATTCTTGTCATGCTTTAGCCGGAAGGTAGATATGTCTGTGTGACGGTATGCTGAGGCGACTTGAGCCCCTTTTGTCACTGGGCAGCGAAGACAAACACCTGTTTTTTCAGACCTTAACAGTCACTGTATAGGTCTGTATAAAGCATTCATCAGGGGCATCCTTCCGTCTTCCATCAATATGAGAAATGCCGTCGGCTTCCCGCCGAATGGATTTCTTCCCAGCCACCCAAATCCCATCGGGCCTCATCCTCTTGATGAAAAGGTAATGAAGGCTATGGAGAAATCCGGGTTCCGGGCAGTTGATTTCTATTGTCACTCCTACGGCTTTATTCATGATAATTTGAGGAGGTTCTGCTAAGGAGATTCCGCCTGCACTTACCCGTACATTCCTCATTGATCAGGCATCCGTGGAGACACAGTCCCTACAATTTGGCCACGCCTTATGACCGCATTGCATCTGTAACTTAAACTTCCCGGAAGGGCCCCGCGGGAAGCTATATTAAACCGCGTGTTGTGAGAGTCGCAAACTTTGGGGTCCGTCACAATTTGGGGGCCTACTTGATGAGGGCCAACTGCAGGTGACTGGCGGCAATTGTCATGTAGCCGTTTCCAGAAACATTCATCGCAACGGCGCAGCCCTCCCGAACCCGCGGTCTGAAACGTTTGCTACGGCGCAGTGAAAATACCACGCGACAGGCTTCTCACGAGATATTCACCGCTCATAGAAACAAATTTGTAAGCCCGAGACTTGTTTGCAGAAACACATGAGGCCTTAACAAGCCGACGAAGGGATGTGGGGCAATTTCGGTAGAGATGTTGCGATGCTATGCTGACTGTAACGCGGGCCCTCTCCATGTTCTTGATTTGGCGAGGGCGTAAATTAGGGACGGCAGCCTGCCAAGCGGAGCGAGAAGCGGGCAATGAACACATCAATGCGTGCTTGTTACATCTCGATAGATTGCGAAGCAGCCAACATTTTCTCATAGATTGTTAGATTTTATCACATCATTGATAACATCGTTGATGGAGCGAAAAGCTAATGCTGCCCTACGGATCTCTTTCTCCATCACTGATCAGTGATCAGTAACGGCGCCGGTGAAAGTCGCGCGGCTGTTCGGAATCCACCATGTGACGCGGCCCAGCGCGAAAAAACGGCGACGGACAAAGAGAAAATGGATCTGCAATCCTCACTCGCAAGCATTGGCACTGGCACTGGCTGAGTTCTCGCCCTGGGCGCGCCCCAGGAAACATCCACAATTGGTCAGGTACCTTGTGTGCAACGTTCGCAAGGAACTGGGGATGGATGCCAGGCTAGACCCCTCTCTTGCCGCGGACTCGCATTTGCAAGGCCGCATTCATACATTGAATGCGAAAGAAGAAGTGTTTTTCGAACGCATATGCAAGTGTTTGTAATTGTAGCTCACGAAATGAGAAGACTGTAAACCCTCCGATGGCATTTTGATAACTGTTATCGCAAAGTCGTCGCGGTTATTGAGGATCATAAGGCTCGGATTATTCACATGGAAAGAGGGGAAACGGAGTTGCAAGGGGGAGCGCCCAGTTGCCGGGGACTGGCCAATAAGAGGTGATTCTTGACCTCCTAAAGTTTCGCTAAAGTGCCCAGCACCCATAAATCGCTGCACCAGAACGGTCCAAGGCTCTTCCTCTCTGTGGCGCTGCCCTCCAAGTGGCCCCTTCCGTAAATTGAGACCAGGCCGTAAGCCAAGGCCCCATTCCACTCAAAGTCGGTCGCTTGTCCACCGCGGGCTTCGTCGAACCCGACCCTTTCAGCTTTCGCTAGCCATTGCTCATCGCTGTCCTTCGACTTCGACTTCGACTCAACAACACAAGCAGTGATTATTTTCATTCTTGACGTCGTCGTTCTTGTCGCACGCAATAGAGGACCGTCTGATGACTCTTATGCATTGAATATTACTCTCTAACCTTCCATTCTCTTGAGCTAGCCTCACAGTCACTCGTTTCTTTCATTCAATTATCGCCTTTGACATACCCCTTGCGCCTCGACCATATTCCACTCACCCAACCGCCAATTGCCAGTTATTCCAAGAAAGGGAAAACAAAAAAACAAAAACGTCTTCACGACCGAGTCTTTCTACGAACATATATTTTCGCTGTTACAATCCCATCAATTGCTCAAGGCTCCGAAACCTGTTGCCGTGGGCCGTCCTCCATCTGATCAACAGATCTGCAAGGCCGATGCTTCAGCCTTGGCCTCTGTGTATCTCGCCGATCTACGCCTAGGGCCAGTCTTACACGCACCCGCCATCACATACACCTTGATACCCACCTACCGACGCCATCATGACGGCGACGTTGGGTTCCGCTACCGGTATGTCGACTACATCTGAGTCCGAAGCATCGGTTGAAGCGTTATGCTAACTGTCATCTTAGCCACCCTCGAACACATGTTAGGGAAGCGTGTCGAGACCTGTCTCGCATGCGACGCATCAACGCAGCTCGTCTGCCCGTCCTGCGTTCCCGGGGTCTCACAATGCCAGTTCATCTATCCCACAAGCTGCCACGAATGCGCGAGAGCGACCTGCGTGCCCATTGAACCGACTTCGACTCCATCCTCATCAAGCGGTCCATCAACCAATGTCGGTGCCATCGCAGGAGGCGTCATTGGTGGTCTGGCAGCAATTGCCATCGTCACATATCTCGTCTGGAGATATTGCATCAGGGCACGGAGGCAACCGGTTGCACAGGAGGTTTGGGACGAGGAGCAGGAGCAGGGCGATGGCGTCGAGAAGGCATTTGCTCAGCGCCGCAATCACCGTGCCTCGACTCACACTGTTCACTCGATAGCATCGACCGTTCTTACCCGAGCCTCGAACATCATCCAGATCGCCTACATCCCCGGCGTCACAAACCGAGCGACTCCGACATCACCGACCGTTCTCGTCCCTCCGGTGCCCCCAATCCCTATCGCCATATCTCAGGCAAACAGTCCTGCGGGTACCGAAGACCAACACTTCTTTGTGCCTGGCGACCTCCGCGACTCTACATACTCTGGTATATCCGGCTACACCGATCGCACCTCATACGCACGAACGTCGTATGCGCCGCGGTCCAGCGTGGCTTCGACCATCTATGGCAAGAACGCAGTTATCGTGGCGCCCGCGCAGACCGGCATGCGGGCTAAGCCTGCCATGGTGAGCGTGAGGTCCGCCAATTCCAACAACTCGGGTGGCAGCTCTACTCCGCCAGTTCCGAGCGTGGACTACGAGAAGTACAACGGCTTAATGAGACCACCGAGCCCGGCAAACAGCACATTCAGTGTAGGCTCGACGTTCTTAAACAATGCCACCGCTCACACGGCCACACCCGCTCGCGCCATGGTTGTGCGGATGGGAAGTCAGAACGGACCGAGGAAGATTGGAATAGGCATGGGCAAGCCCAAGGCGCCTGAGCAACCGGCAGTATCATCACCTGGTGCTGCATCACCTACCGTTCGAGATTCAACCGCTGCTACGATCATCGATGACTCTCCGAGCGTTGACCAAGGACCCTTCTCCGACCCTCCAAAACCAGCCAATCAAAGCGTGACCAGTTTAAGCGCTGTGATAGAGGAGGCCACACGAAGGGCGTCTCAAAGAGGTTCCGGGAACCAAGATAAGGAGCGGGAAAGGAGTCCATTTGGTGATGAACATGCCACTCAAGATTAAACCATCTACAACACTCTACTTTGGGAGGCACCGCGCTTTTTTTTATGTCATTTTTTAACCTTCTTGTGATCTACTTTTTTTCGAACCTTGACACTTAGAATGTCTTGGATATCTGGTTTGGATTAGTTCAGGTTTCTCGATTGGATATTACGAGCCTTGAAAAAGGATATCTGAATGGCGTTTTTCTTGGCTAACTTTAACTGGAACGGCTGACAAGCTACGGCTCAACTGATGGGATGGTTTTTGACTACTTTTACTACTTACTATGGAATGAGATTATGTGAAGCGTGGTGTGGTGTGGCGTGGAGTGGGTTGCAGGGTGCTTGGGTTCGCCGCGTCTTTGGGACGTGTGAGATATCATATATATCAATGGGATACCTAGGTATCGATCGATTGAATAGAGATGATTTTCCCTACGCCATTGAACATTGATGATAGATTGCGCATTTGCCTAACCCCACACACACTTAAGGAGAAGCATATGCTGTTAGTTTTGGGCTTGACAACGCCAGACTTGGACACACACACACGACACAAAGCAATCACAATGGCAAATCGCACCAACTCATGTATGTACAAGCGAGCGCGGATATAACAGATGCAAGACATGGATATAATGTGTGTGTGAGCTTTGTCTTGAGTGGGAAAGGAAAGCGAGGTTGAAAGAGAGGGAGAGGCAGCCCGCGAAGAATAGGTAGTTAGTTATAACGGTTTTAAGGGAACTACTAACTCTTCACTTTCCGTATTAACTAACAAAGCAAGATACCTTTTTTTTCTGTCTTGTCCAGTAATTCATTCATATAAAAACAGTTTTTACATTGGGGTCATTACAAGTCAGAGTTTTGTGATGCGTGTGTAAATTATGTCATGTGTGACGACGAGATTTTCTAACAACACAGTGAAAACACTTGATACTCCTTGTCGTTTCTGTTGCGATAGAACAAAATAAATAAATAGCAGAAATGGTTTTACAATAAAGTGTTAAAAAGGTTGTGTCCTAACTTCCTTCTTGCTTCCCTGGTTTCTCCCCATTCTTGTGTGTCACTCCGCCTTGACTATTTTCATCAATTCGCAAAGGCGCTAGTGGTCTAACGGCTAGGATTCAACCCTTCCACTCTCATTCATATGTGTGTGTGTGCGTGCGTGCGAGGTTGAGGTAGGGGTTCGATTCCCTTCTGGCGCACTTCTTTTTTCTCTCCCATCTCTTTCTACCCTGTATGTACATAGTAATGGGTCTTTGGTGGGTGGGTGGGAGATCCACTGGGTGATAAGAAAGGCTTGGCATCTTTTTTTGTTGTCGGCTGCGTTCTGTTGTTGATCCGCCATTGGCTGGCTGTTTGTTTGTTGTCTGATCTGGAGCTGCCTAACAACTACCTATGCAGAAGCAGTTGCCGTGCTGGTTGGTATAACTGAACTAGGACAGGACTTTAGGTTGTGAGAGAGAGAGAGAGAGAGCCCATTTTGTTGTTGTGTGATATGGTGTGCTAAGGTAGTTTAGAAAGGGGTAATTGGACAGAAAATGTCTGTGATGTGACGTTCTTCATCTTCATCTTCATCCTCATCTTCGTCTTCGTCTTCATCTTCATCCAGTCTGGCCCGTTCTGCCAGCACGCCGTCCAGAAACAGGATAAATGCCAATAGGCCATACACCGCCGCCCGTCTGCACCGATTGAATACGTCTAGTCGTTGGACGAGGAACGCAGCGTGCATCCCCCCTACTGAAAGAAGGATGGAGAGTCGAGCTACGTCCCTCAGGCTCTCTGTGGTTGTTGCCATGTTGTTGTTGATGGTGTGTGTGGGTGTGGGTGTGTGACTGGGAAAACCAATGGAAATACTGAAGTAGTGAACGATATGGCAACAATGTACATGCTCAGGGGATATATGGACGGAAAGGGCCATTATATATAATAACTTGAGTGAGTGGTGGTGATTGTCGTTGACCGTGAGCTGGTTTGTCCACCCGGATAAACAAATGGGAACAAACAAGAAAACAAAACCACCTCCGCTTATAACATAGGAGAGGGTGGTTTTCCTTTCAAGTGTAGCAAACAGGAGGGGTTCACACAATCGACAGCTGCAAGGAACTGACTGTTACTGGAGAATTCTGGTAATTGGTATCAACGCACTCACTCACGAATGATGATGATGTTGTTAGGGCTTTGCTGTTTTACAAAGGAATGTCTGGTTTGAGTGTCTTTTTGTTTTTAAACCCATTTAAACTCACGACTACAAAGGACTATTCCACAACTGACAGCTGAAGCAGTCGCTGGTCTAATTATCCTGAGGTTGCAATGAAGATGTCACTATGAAGTGGACGAAGAACTTGGTTTCCCTTAGAAAATCCCTGTGGGAATTTCCTGTCTACTATCTAAGAACGCACTATAGCTCATGAGGTATCATAACATCTCATCCATTTTCATCTTCCCCTTTATTACTTCCTTCTCCGAAGATCTGGTTTAAGGCTTCTTCTCCGGAGCATTGGTGTAAAGCCGGGTACAATCCCAGAGGATGTCGGCAGTGCTGTACCGCCACCATCCTTGATCCACTTTGCAGATGGCTCTTCCGAGGACATCTCCCCGTCAGACCCCGACGCCGCCCGCTTTCGCTTCTGGTCTGTATTGCTGGTAGGAGGAAGGCCGTCCAAGTCGAACATCACCACGTCGTTGTCATCTAGCGCATCTGGGGTCTGGTCTGCGCTGGCAGGAGCGTCCTCCATCATGACGTCTGGCGTATCAATGGTCACAGTCTGGTTGACTGCATCTATGCTGGCAGGGGTGTCATCGACGTCCGACAACCCCATCTCCTCGTCCTCCTGCTCCAGTTGGTGTATGGTTTGGTTTGTGTTGGTAGGGGGTTCGTCCACCGCATCCTCATCCTCCTGTTCCCGTTCGTGCTTGCACTGGTCCATGCTAGTAGGACGAGTATCCTCCGTGCTGACAGGAATGTTCTCTGCGTCAGCAAGAGTCTCTTCCACGGCAGTATTAGGTGTGTTACTCACGCCGGTAGTAGTGTCTTCTGCGCTGGTATTAAGAATGTACTGTATGCTGGTACGAGGATCCCTCCCCACATTGCTAAGAGCGCGGTTGGCGGTAGTGGGAGTGCTCTCCACCACGAGGGTAGGAGTATCCCTTACCACTTCCCTGGGAGCAACGTCCTCCACCACTGCATGCAGCGCGTCTGCGGCCGGGTTGGTTGTAGCCACGAGGTACCTGTAAATAACTACAGCAACTATCCCCAAAAGAAGGGCCGAGAGTAGTTGATGGCTTATCATGTTGCTGGTGAAATGTGTGCGAGTCGAAGTAAGATTTTGGAAGAGGAGTTGGCATAGAACCCATGAGTTACGGGGACTGAAGAGCTCTTAAATATAGGTAAGGCTCTAAGAGGGCAATTGTTGTCGTCACCTATGGTTTGTATGCATACTTGAGACAAAAAGCAAAAAGCAGCTAAACAAACATCATAGATACCTAAGATATCTCAGAAAACATTTCTGCTAAAAGAAGCAAGTAGACCTTGTTACATCAATCAGCTTAAATGACAATCACTTAATGACTCAGGATCTCAGATCAAACACCTGACAAAAGGTGCTTGAAGTCAAGCTGCATTGTACGCGAAGCGTGATATGCAGACATAACATCTTTTTCAGCGTGGCTCAAGGTAGGAGAATAGATCGATTATTGCCCATGGGTTGATGTTCATTTCTTACTTGTGTCAACCCTTGTCGATGGAAGGAAGTGCCGGTCTCGCTACCTTAAAACTTGTAGTTATGAGAATCTAGTCATTGTCACGAAGTACTGTGTGAATGGGTAAAGATATTTTCAGCAGTTAAAGTCTATCGTAGTATGCCAAGTCAAGTTCCGCCGCCCTCCGTCGTCTTCTCCGTCTTCATATCCTCATTCGCCTCCTTCAGCGTCTTCTCATCATCTTCCTTACGCCACTTCACAGGGGGCTTTTCCGACGGAGTGGGAGCGTCCTCCACTATATCTAGTGCGTCTGTGGTCTGGTTTATGCTGGCAAGGCTGTTCATTATGTTGGTGATATTAATTAGTCCTCTTGACGGCAGTAGGAGCGTCCTTCAAGACGGCACTGTCCTTTATGCTGGGAGGAGTGTTCTTCACCCTAGTAGGACTGTCCTACCCGTCGGACAATGCCAGGTCATGCAGCGCACGCGTGATCTCGTCAATTGCATCTGGAGTCTCTCTGACTACATCTGCAGGCTTGTCGACTTCATCTGTGTCTTGTCGACTGCATCTGGCTCGTTGACTGGAGCTGGTTCGCTGACTGTATCTGGCTCGTCGCCTTCTTCTGCGGTGTAGTATTCTGTATCTGAAGTGTCCGAGTCTGAATCTGGTTCGTTGCCTTCTTCTGCGGTGTAGTATTCTGAATCTGTATCCGTAGTATCGTTGGCTTCATCTGTATGCTCCCTGGCCGCACTCCGGTAAATAGTGATCGCAGCATAGATCGCCACGGACAGCACGACGGCAGACTGCCAGTAGGCGACTTTCTTGAATGTGTTCATGCTTGCGGTATTCTCGGAATGGTGTGTGACTTGGAGACGGTACACGATTGATAGGACATGGAATGGTTGGGTTGTAAGCTTGGAGAGTATGGACTAAACTAGAGCTGTCGTTCTAATATACAAGTGGTTCTGAAAGGGGAGACATGCTTGTCATAGTCTGTTGTTGTTTGTCTAGTAAGATCAAACCGGGATCATAAATCTAAGACTAATTGCGCATCCAAGTGTTTTCCCTAGGTAATTACCAAGGGGAAGCAAGCAGAACTTGAAAACATCCGGACCTGGAAATCTTGACATACAAGTCCACTCAGGGCTGTGGCCATTGCACAAACAGACGGATGTACGAAGCAGACGTTTTCGTATGGCAATCACGTAAAACACAATCTGACGACAGCACGACAGCACCAAACAAAAGCGTTTGTCAAACTCCATCATTCAACTCCATCAGTTGTGAAGACGTGTCTACAAGACAAGCTAAAACCTAACACCCCATCACACTGCATTCTCCGTGAACCCGGGGGGCCCGGGGGTTACTTATCCATGTTGTCGACATACTAATTTCTATACGTCATTACCGTTTCTGCTTCGCCTGCCATTGCCTCCTCCTCTCCCTGTCGCGCTCGTAGTCGGCCATGAACCTGGCCATATTCCGCTCTTTTCTCTCCTGTTCCTCTAAACGTCTCGATAGCTCCTCCTCTTCCTTCCCCCTCTCGTCTTCCGAGGCCCATCCGTCGTCGCCATCATCATCATCATACACCTCGTCATCCCCTTCTTCTTCTTCTTCTTCTTCTTGCTCCTCCTGATCCTCCGAGTTGGTATTATTCCCCAGTAACAACAACTGGTCCAAAAACCGATTGACCAGGCGGACAGCGCCGTTTAGCATCTTTCTGTGCTGCTCGAGATCATCCTTCCGGCCGGAGTTGATCGCCACGGCGATGTTCCCCGTGTGCGCGATTATGCTGTGGAGGCCTTGGTCTATGGAGGCTTCTAACGGGTGGGGTTGAACGGTCCGGTTGGACATGATGGTAGAATAGATAAAAACTTTCCGGTGATGTGAGATGAGACGTAATTAACAACTCAACAGAAAACCACTCAAAACAAAGCATCCACAGCAGAGCTGGTGTGCGCAGATATATATTATCCCAAGAAAGATAAATCCTTCCTTCACAGGGCATTGTGGTTTTGTTCTTCAACACCCGGGATGCCGGAACAGGATACATGTGTTTGGGTGCATGAATTGTACATACACAAATGAAGATATTTGCTCCCCCCCCCCCAGCTCCCGGTAATTGGCCACATAACGGGCAGGCGTTTTGTTTTGCATTTGCATTTCAATTTTGTTGAATATAGATGACTGTATGATATGCCCCTCCCCCGCATCAACCATGTTAAGCAGAAACAGACACGCCCTCATGATACTCCGGAATAGGAGTCATGGTCATCTCCACGCCGCGCTCCTCACAGTACTTGCTAACCTCCTTCCACAGCGTCTTTTGCTGCCGTCTCACCAAGTCCACGATATCCCCGCATTCCTCTCCCAGATTCCCATCCTTCTCCATGCTGCTCCCCAGGGTAGCCATCTCAGCGAGCACCGCGTGCAGTTGGTTCGGCAGCCAGGTCACGATCGGGGACCCCCCCGTGGCGGTCGGGTGCGAGGTCTGCTTGAGGAT